AAAAAAGATAAGAAAGGAAAAGCTAAAAGCTTAAATATTACCTTTAATCAACAAGAAGGAAGCAAAGTCAAAACACCGAAAATAGAAATATTTATAAAGACACAATTGTCACAATTAGATCAAATCTTGTAATTAGAAAAGGAACAAGAAGATCCAAGAATTAGAACAGAATTAAGACAACTAAAACAACGATTAGACAGTATAGAAACAAATTATAAATATATTTCACAATTAACAAGACAACAAACTGATAAATATATTCAAGAAATTGAAAGGGTCACAAACAGAAAAATATTTGAAGCAGAAACAGCTGAAGACAAAAAAGCTTATCTATACAAAATGATATCTGCATTAACAGAAACAAAAGATGCTATTCTTTGGAAAAATAAAGATCTAGTAAAAAACCTAGAAGAAGAATATGGATATGCAACTAACCAAGCACTAAACTTGAACAGAAAAGATTTTGAAGCAATGCAAGAGTATGAACAACAAATCTTAATGGAAAGATTCGCCAGACAAATGGAACAATGTGAAAGTAAACCATTATGAGAACAATACCAAGCAAAATATAGAGAACTATTGGGAGTATCTCTAGAAAACTTAGATAAAATACATAACGTAGAAGATGAAGAAGAACAAATATTCCAAGAACAACAACGAGCCAGAAGACAAGGCTTAGAATTACCAGAAACATTACTACCAAAACATCCATATCATAAAGAATATCTACCAACAATAAACGAACTGCGAGAACCAGAACAAATAGCAGATAGATGGCTACTAGACGAAAACTTCGGACTAATATTAGAATAGCTAAATAAGCAAGATAAAAATCAATACTCCAAAATACCAGAACAACCAATATCAAGAACAACAACAAGACCAAGTTCATCAACATCACCAACCTTCTTTGATAAAGCTAAAGGAATGGTGCAAGGCACATTAAATGTAGCACAACAAATATTAAGCAAAAAAAATTTAATGCAATCGACACAATCATCCTACTCTAAACAACATCAACATAAATCATCACCACTAATAAAAGAAGTACAACCAACTGATATAATAATATCAGAATCAAGTAGTCTTTATACACCAACAAGCGATAATGATGACCGACCGGTATTACCAAAATATGGTCATAAGAGACAAAGGTCGCAACTCTCAAATCAATCATCTTTAGTAAGAAATCTGCGATTGGAACAATTTAGAAGAGAAAATTAACAAAGACAAGAACTATTCAGAAAAACAGAACAAGAACAATTAACACAAGAAGATACACAACAAATAGCTGAATTGGATGAATATGTTATGCCCCAAATGACAATTTTTCCAGATAACAATCTGGCCAAAATTATAAATTAATTAGCCCAGACGTTAAGGTTAGATTTGGGCAATTTTAATTTGGGCTGTCCCAATTGGCAATCGGGACAGGATTATTATTTGGGGTACAACAAATATATTCAAGAAGATACAGACAACTATAATGATTATAGTCGGAATAACTATCAACAAGGGAGGGAAATTATATAATCCAAATAATGAATATGAAGCAGGAGAATCATCTCTACAATATGATCCAAGAGAAACTAAATAGACACGGACCATAGAATCTGAATGGAAAGGACAAAAAGTCCTATACCTAGTACCAACAGGATAGTTAGCATTAACAGATGATAACTAGAGAGATGTATACAAACATACAGACCTAGCACAGATGTGGATTGAAAATGTAAAGCAAGAAGCAGATCTAGAAGAACTAGCTAAACACAAAACAAAAATAGATGAAGAATTAGAACCAAAGCAAGAATATGGTGTATCTAGAAATATATCTGATATAACAGACGTAAATCTTAATTTCTATAAAGAAATAAAAGAACAGTATCCTACTCATATTAGATATATTATATTACCAACCATACAAGAAGGAAAAAATGCTAAATACCAAATATTAGCAAAAGAAAAAACAGATATACCTCCTATGACTATAGGGCATATTAAGATCCAAAAACCAATAAAAGAAGATCTTTACATAGAAACTACAGCCAGAGAAGCCAAAAAAGCAGTAATTGTGCAGCCTGAGATAGCAAATAGAAAATATATAACAATACTGAATTATTCTAATAAAAAATTTAAGATTAGAAAAGGACAACATATAGCAAATAGAGAAAAGGTCAAAATTAAAAATTTTGATACAAAAAAGTGAAAAAATTTTGAACCAAAAATTAACCAAAATTTTCTTCAAAAATTACTAACTTTTGATGAACCTGTCAAAAGTGAAAAGAAGAGAATTAAAATTCTTCAAGATCGCTGTTTTGAAACAGGAAAACCCAAAGTATGGAAATTAATCAAACATATTTTAACCAAATATGTTGATGTATTTCGAGAAAAAGAAGAATTTTACACATTTGTAGACCCTGATGTAATCACACCTGTGAAATTTATATTTAAACCAGAAATTAATGAAAGGAAGATATCTTTAAAAGACAAAATGCAAGGAAGATGAAAATATTCAAAAGAAGACTTAATAGTAATACAAAAAATGAAAGATGATTTACTAAAAAATAGAATAATATATAGTAGAAACACAGATTGGTGTAGTGATAGAAAAAAAAGATAGAATGAAAAAGATTGCAATTGACTACAAAAAACTAAATAGTTTTCTCTTACCTTTTAGAGAACCGTTATCTAATACGAAACAAATACTACAATGAGTGGCAAGATATAAATACTATATAACAATAGATATTAAATCAGTCTATTGGCAAATACTAGTAGCTGAGCCGTCTAGAAAATATACAGCAACCCAATTTGCAGAATATTGTTAGAAAGGAATACCATTTGAAATCCAAACAGCACCAGCATACCTGATAAGAGCAATGAATAAAATATTAGAAGATTTAGCATACGTATTAATATATATGGATGACATGGTAATATTTTTGAAAGATAAACCTAAAGCACAAAAAAAACTAACAAGGGTATTAGAACGCTTAAAAAAGCAGCTCTAAAAATTAAACCATCAAAATGTGAATTTCTTGTGCAAGAGACAATCATACTAAATTATAAAGTATCACATAGAAAAATAGAGAAAAATGTATTAAAAATAGACAATGTGGACAAATTTGTAATACCAAAAACTAAACAAGAGTTACAACGCTTCCTAGGATTTATGAATTACTTTAGACATTATATAGTAGACTTTGTGAAAATAGCAATTGTACTCTATGAGAGAGTAGGCAAAAAAGACTTTGATTAGAACGAAGAATGCCAAAAAGCAATGGAAAAGCTTAAAATAGAATTAAAGCGAGTATTATCATTATCATATCCAAATATAAATAAACTCTTCTTTATAGAAACAGATACCTCTGACAAAGCTATCGGAGCAATATTATACCAAATAGAAGATGAATCACAGGACCATTAGAAGGTTAAAGATAAAATCAAATGAAAAGAATTAATTAGAGAACAAATATTGGCAGAAAAAGATTATACTAAACCACCACGAGGAAATATTAAAATAATAGAAATAGGATCGACATCCTTATTAGAGCCACAAAGGAATTGGCCAATAACACAAAAAGAAATATACGCGATAGTACATCATTTAGAAAAGTAGAAACATTATATAGAGAGTCAAAAAGTACACATATACTCTGATGCAATGGGAATAACTGCGTGAAAAGAAACAAAAGTAAAGCAACCACTATAAATAATTGGCTGATGATGATACAAGACTTTGACTATAAGATACATAGGATAGAAGGGGCAAAGAATCTTGCTGCAGACTTTCTATCACGAGGAACCAATAATGAGTTAGAAGAACTCAAAGCATGAAAGGAAAGTCAAAAAGAAAACAAAAAGAAATAGTAATATATTTATTAAAATAAAATAATATATACAAAGTTAATCACTATCATAATAACCATAATCATTTTCACAAATATCAATACCATCATCACATCACTATCGGAATCGTCTGAACCATCATAATAATCATCTTCACTAAGCACCTGACTAACAAATTGACTATAAAAGAAGGAACTAATGACTCCAAACGAGCTTGACGCTCTTCAGAAAAATGATAGATATCAAGAAGATCATATTCGGGCTCAAAGGAATCATAAGGGTCTGAGGAAATTCTATCATCTAAATAAAAGAAGTAAGGTTAGAATAATTCGATCACCATGCACTACTGACCAGGGAAGTTAGATAAAATCTAACTACTCTGATCTGACAGTGCATGAAAAACCAATATTGATCACCATACTTGTGAAAATACAAGCATGAAGAACCCTTACCTGATGAAATATTAACTAAAGAAAGGTCAGAAAGGCTGCTATTAAGATTCTCAAGAAAAATATAATCTTCATTATACTCTTCCCATTTAATAACATAAGAAGAACGAACGGTACGACTATTGTCACGATTATAAGGGTAATGGGAATCAAAAAAATTCTAATCTCAATGAAAAGAATACTTCTGAACAATATCAAAAGAAGTATAGAAGTTAATATAAACTGAAAAAAAATCTGACTTATTACTTTTAAAATAAAGAAAGAAGATAAAATCTTCAAGAACACAATAATGATTTTCAAGGAATTGGAAGGTATCCTTGGAACAACCAAAGTCCAAAAAGGAAAGATGATTATAATCCTCAAAAAAAAATGAAGAAAGAAGTCACGAGGATAAGGATATACCTTATTAGGGGATAAAATATTAATAAAATTGGAATACAACTGATAAAAATCAGAAAAAAGAACACTATGACGAAGATAGGAAATGATTAATAAGTCATACAACTCATTACGGAAGACCAAATTATCAAACAGCTGATTAATAAAAGACAACATATTTCTAAAATAAGATTAATAAAAAAAATTATTACACAAAGTTGTAAGCCGCAGAAGAATAATAGAAACAATATATAAAAGATAATTTGAGAACCAAATATTGTTATAAAATTCATTCGAATTAAAGAATCCAAACCAGTAGAAAATAGCCTACTTATATAACCAAAAGAGGAAACACAAAAAGAAGAAAAGAAGTATCAATCGAATACGCTAAGAATCAAATTAATGATACCATTTATAGCTTATCAAGTACTTATTAAACACGTGTACTTCGAAGACTTATACCTTTACCTATTACAAGACGAATTTGAGAAACTATTTTATAAAGAAGAAATTGAATTGTAACTAAATAAATGGCACGGAGAGATATCCTGACAAGAGATTAGATTGAATTAATCTTAAAAAATGAAACAGAATGTATTAACTTCTTTATAAAAAACAAATTAATCTATAAAGAGTTAACATGTAACCAATGTGGAAACCACATGAAAAGAAATTATAAAATGTAGAACTGTAATAATTGGAGATGTTGAAAGTTACAATCTATTTACACCAACTCAGCCTTTGAACAAATCTATTTACCAGTAAATAAAGTAATAGAAATATTCTATTATTGGCTTATCAAAGTAATACCAAAAACAATGTTTTTAATGACAAGACATGCACCATCAACAATAACAAATAATGTAAATAAGATAAGAAAAATGATAGGATCACAGATACAAGATACACACCACAAAATAGAAGACAAAGATATCATTGTAGAAATAGATGAATCTTTGTTTGGATGAGTAAAGTACTACCACAAAAAACCTGTGAATAAAGTATAGATCATTGGAGGAGTAGAAAGAACTTCTGAAAGAAGAATATTTGTCAAAACAATAAACAAAAAAGATAAGATCACGTTATTACAAATCATAAAAGATAACATTAAAGAAGGAACAATTATTTACACAGATC